GGGGTCATTAGACCCTTTAAATCTCATTGCTACCATTTAACTCATTTTATGATTCTGGACAGATTGTTTCATCTCTCTGAGATGAGCCTCAGTTTGCTGGAAAGAGATCTGTGAGGATAAAGCAAGAACACACAGGTGGGAGCTTTCCGGTCTCCTGGACAGCCTCGGGCCACGCGGTTCCTTCTGGCCCCGCCCCTTTCTTTCCAGGCCCCGCCCCACCGAGGCCCCGCCCCCTCCCCGGGTTCTTATCTGGGCCGCGCGTCTGGCGCCTGCTGAGCGCAGCCGGAGCTCTGCCCCGACAGGTCGCAGTCAGGGGGCAGCGCTACGCACTCCCCATTGGCTGAGGGCGCCGGCGGGGGCGGGCCCAAGCGTGCGATTGGCTCTCGGAGCAGGTGACGCGGCGGCCCGAGTGGCCGGTGGGTGCAGACGGCCATGGAGGCCGCGTCGGTGCGCCGCCGGGCGGCTTCGCAGCGTCGGGGCCCTCCGACCACGCAGGCTCGGGCGCAGGAGGAGCGGGAGCGGCGGCCCGGGCGGAGGCGGGGAAGGAGGTGCGCTTGGCCGGGCTGCAGTCGGGAGTCGGGCGGCGGGGTGCGGGCCGGTCGGCCGTGCCGGTGCCTGCCGGGCCACCTCCTCGCCCATTGCTCCCGCCATTCCTCCGTCCCGGTGCTTGCCGGGCCCCCGAGCAAGCGGTGCTCACGCCCCTAACCCATGACAGGGCCCCGTCCCGACCGGTGGCGAATGGCCGGTCCTGCAGGACAGGCGCCATGACTGCCATACCCTCCTCGGCCCTGGTTGAGGCTGGTCGTCCCAGGCATTTACAGCTGCCCGACAGGCGCCCGTGAGACAGATGGGTCCTTGAGACCGGAGGATGGTGGGGAGCCAGGGGCAGCTGGTGGATGGGAAAGGTATTTCTGGGCAGAAGGAGCACTGAGAGGGTCCCTTCTCTCCTGCCGGAGGAATTAACAAGTGACATAGGTGGACGGGGTCAGGCATGATTGTTCTTAGTTACTTTGAGTGCAACACAAGGATAAAGAAAACCAGGAAGGAGGCCCTGGAAGAGGAGGGCGCGGGATGAAGTTTGAAAGGGAGTGTTTTATTGGGCCAGGTGCACGGACCTGTGAGTCCAACTATTCAGGAGGCAGGAGGATCACACGTTTGAGGTTAGCCTGGGCAACTTAGGGAGAGCTTATCTTGGAAAAGAAAAGGGAAAGGTGTGGGGCTAGGTCAGTGGTAGAGCCCCTGCCTCGCATGTGTGAAACCCTGGGTCTGATCCCCAGTACCAGGAGAGGAAGATAGAGGCCCTTTCATCGGCTTCTGCCCCAAGCTTCCCCAGGTTCACTGCACAGGCCCTGGGTCAATGTTGGGTGATTGATGGCAGACCCTATGGAGGAAGCTCGCTCCAGGCTATGCGCTGTTGACAGAGGGGCAGCCTTCGGCACTGGAAGGTTTAGAGAATTCATCTTGGATGCCTGTGGTTTCTAAATGGCCACCACGGTGTAGTCTGACTACAATTAAAGTAATATTTAAAAGTAAGACTGAAGACTGCTTGATTTCATTTTACTTAGCGCTTTGCAACCTCATGAAGCAAAGGCCAACTTTCCTCTTACTTCCTGTCAGTGAACAGGAAGGACTCAGTGAGTGATCCCGGGGCCTGGGTATGGGCTGGAGAGAAAGCCTGGTGTTCAGCTTTGCTTGTATCTGGTCTTTGCCCCTTGCCACCGAAAGCCTACGATCCTAGGAAGTGTCTGTCCAGGGTCTTTGGTGTGTGGTTTGCCTGCTGGGTGGGGAAGGTGTGACAGACATGGTGACAGTGGCAGCTGTTTCCAAAGGTGACAGACATGGGCTGTCAGTGGCAGCTGTTTCCAAATAGAGGTCAGGCCCTAGTTGCTGATGCAGATGACTTACAGGTATTGGAGGTCCTGAGCCCCTCAGGTTCAATGCATGCTTCTGTAGTGTATGTTAAATAATATAAATCATGTCTAGGCGACACCTAGCCATTTGCTTCCAGCTGTTTACCAGTTTGGGGGCGTCTTGGGATGTGGCTCAGTTGGTAGAGTGCTTGTTTCGCATGCACAGAACCCTAGCTTTAGTCACTAGCACAGCGTAAATGGGGTGTGGTGGCAAGCACCTGTAATCTCAGCGCTTGGGCCGTAGAAACAGAAGGATTATCCTTGGCTACTTAACCAAGTTTAAAGCAGCCTGAGCTACACCAGATTCTGTGTCAATTTTTTTTTTCCTTTTTAAACCCACTGTTTGCCTAGAATCAAAGAGGATCGAGAAGAAGAAGCAGTCTTTCGAGAAGTGGTCAACTTTACCCCGGATCCTTTGCCAGGTGAGGGTACTGAGGCTCCCAGTAATGTCCCCTTGTGGCCACGGCAGCCCCAACCCTTATGATCTCTTTGTCATGGTCAAAGCGTTCGCTTGAATCCCTTGATTTGCATTATTCCTCACTGTTTCTCTTCTTGGACCAGCTAGATATTATGACAGAGAGACCTCCAGACCTATCAGCTTTTACTTGTCATCACTGGAGGAGCTCCTGGCCTGGACACCCCTCATGGAGGATGGCTTCAACGTGGCCCTGCAGCCCCTGGAGCAACGCCAGCCGCCACTCAGCAGCCACAGGCCCCGAACCCTGCTGTGCCACGACATGATGGGCGGGTACCTGGATGATAGGTAAGGCGGTTCCTGACACTGTAGCCTGGTCTCATTGCTGGACATCCTCAGGTGGGAAGGGGAACCATAGAACGAGCCCCGGGTGGAGTCAGGAGAGTAGGTTCTAGAAGGAACTCAGACAACCTGGGAGAGAAAGTCGGGCCCAGGTTAAGCTTGGTGTGTAAGAAGCAAGGATGGGTTCGGTAAACTCTGGTGTCTCTTAGCTGTAAAATCTACTGGTTCCTCAGACTGTCTCTGCTCAGATCATTGCCTCCCGTTCCCCCAGGCCTCCCACACCCCCAGGCCTCACGCGCCCCCAGGCCTCCCGTACCCCCAGGCCTCCCGACTCAGCAGCCCTTGCACTCCTCTGATGTGCATCTTTGCTCTTCCCCCTAAGCTCACCCTGGTCCTGGCCTGTCTCTTGGCTCTGGCTTCCTGTGCTCACACACCCCCTCTCGCAGCTGTGCAAAGGCCATCTTAAACATCTATAAAACAGTCTTGGATGTGGCATTTGATGAGGAGCCGAGTCAGTACCAACCGCTGAGGGTCACACAGGTGGAAGGTGAAACCTGAGCTGAAGCTGACCTGCAGATGTGGGGGGACTTCCCTGAGGGCACTGCTGACCCTGTGCACAGGGCTGGAAGCCAGGGACCCCTTCCTGCTTCCCTCCTTCCTGCTTTCCTTCCTAGTCTTCTCTCAGAGGCCCAGTGTGCTGTCTGTACAGATCAGTGGCTGCTGCTGATGCCCTGGAAAGAGCTTCCCTCCCTCCCTCACCCCACTGTTTTTTTTTAAACTTGAGTCCTGGGGATGGAACTCATGTGAGGCAGACACCGCAGACTGAGTCTTCTCCCCCGCACCTGCTGCGGTGGCTCGGACAGAAGAGCCCAGGCTGCTGTGCCTCACTCACCACCCGCACGAGGCCTCATGCGACAGGCTTTCCGTCTGTGCCATTGACCAGAACTGAAGAGGAACCTCACTGCAGAGGGCCGTGTCCTGACCGTCTCCCGGGACCCGAACGTGCTGTGTCTCCCCAGGTTCATTCAGGGCTCGGCGGTGCGGGACCCTTACGCCTTCTACCACTGGCCATACGTCGATGTCTTCGTCTACTTCAGCCACCACACAGTCACCATCCCCCCCGTGGGCTGGACCAATGCTGCACACAGGCATGCGGTCTGCGTGCTGGGTAAGAGCCGGTGGCTAGCACACCTGTTGGGTAACCCTGGGATTGAATGGGAGCTGTGTCCAGGGGTCAGGACAGGTGCCTACACTTTTCCCAGAGAGGACCCCAGTGTGGGGACCGTGGTCACCTTGGTGGTGACCTGCATGATGACCTGCAGATGGCATGTTGGCAGAGGCCAGGCTGTGTTCCAGTAAAGAGTCACCTACACAGGTGGTGGCTGGATCTGCTGCCAACCTGTGGATTAGAATACTGCCTCTCCAGCTTTGCCTGCAACTTCTGACCACACTGAGGGGCCCACCCCAGAGTGCCCCTGATACCGGCATGTCTGCATTTTCCTGTCACCCTGATGGTCCAGGACGTACTCTTGGCTGAGCCCTTGGCCAGAGAAGAGCCATCTGCATAGCTGTTCCCACCTCCTATCTCATAGGGACCTTCATCACAGAGTGGCAGGATGGGGCCAAGCTCTGTGAAGCCTTCCTGGCCGGGGATGAGAGCTCCTACCAGGCAGTGGCTGATCGGCTGGTCCAGATTGCTCAGTTTTTCCGTTTCGAAGGCTGGCTCATCAACATTGAGAACTCTTTGAGTGTAAGCTTGCCTCTGTTGAGCTGCCCTCCCCCCACCCCTTGCTTATTCCTCACCTTTGCTTGGCCCCTCTCCACCTTAGACCCAGGCCTGAGATCACAGCCCCTCTCCACCTTAGACCCAGGCCTGAGATCACAGCTCCTCTCCATCTTAGACCCAGGCCTGAGATCACAGCTCCTCTCCATCTTAGACCCAGGCCTGAGATCACAGCTCCTCTCCATCTTAGACCCAGGCCTGAGATCACAGCTCCTCTCCATCTTAGACCCAGGCCTGAGATCACAGCTCCTCTCCATCTTAGACCCAGGCCTGAGATCACAGCTCCTCTCCATCTTAGACCCAGGCCTGAGATCACAGCTCCTCTCCATCTTAGACCCAGGCCTGAGATCACAGCTCCTCTCCATCTTAGACCCAGGCCTGAGATCACAGCTCCTCTCCATCTTAGACCCAGGCCTGAGATCACAGCTCCTCTCCATCTTAGACCCAGGCCTGAGATCACAGCTCCTCTCCATCTTAGACCCAGGCCTGAGATCACAGCTCCTCTCCATCTTAGACCCAGGCCTGAGATCACAGCTCCTCTCCATCTTAGACCCAGGCCTGAGATCACAGCTCCTCTCCATCTTAGACCCAGGCCTGAGATCACAGCTCCTCTCCATCTTAGACCCAGGCCTGAGATCACAGCTCCTCTTGTCCTAGACCCAGGCCTGAGATCACAGCCCTTCTCCATCTTAGACCCAGATCTGAGATCACAGCTCCTCTTCGTCTTAGACCCAGGCCTGAGATCACAGCCCCTCTCCATCTTAGACCCAGGCCTGAGATCACAGCCCCTCTCCATCTTAGACCCAGGCCTGAGATCACAGCTCCTCTTGTCCTAGACCCAGGCCTGAGATCACAGCTCCTCTCCATCTTAGACCCAGGCCTGAGATCACAGCTCCTCTTGTCCTAGACCCAGGCCTGAGATCACAGCTCCTCTCCATCTTAGTCCCAGGCCTGAGATCACAGCTCCTCTTGTCCTAGACCCAGGCCTGAGATCACAGCTCCTCTCCATCTTAGTCCCAGGCCTGAGATCACAGCTCCTCTTGTCCTAGACCCAGGCCTGAGATCACAGCTCCTCTCCATCTTAGTCCCAGGCCTGAGATCACAGCTCCTCTTGTCCTAGACCCAGGCCTGAGATCACAGCTCCTCTCCATCTTAGTCCCAGGCCTGAGATCACAGCTCCTCTTGTCCTAGACCCAGGCCTGAGATCACAGCTCCTCTCCATCTTAGTCCCAGGCCTGAGATCACAGCTCCTCTTGTCCTAGACCCAGGCCTGAGATCACAGCTCCTCTCCATCTTAGTCCCAGGCCTGAGATCACAGCTCCTCTTGTCCTAGACCCAGGCCTGAGATCACAGCTCCTCTCCATCTTAGTCCCAGGCCTGAGATCACAGCTCCTCTTGTCCTAGACCCAGGCCTGAGATCACAGCTCCTCTCCATCTTAGTCCCAGGCCTGAGATCACAGCTCCTCTTGTCCTAGACCCAGGCCTGAGATCACAGCTCCTCTCCATCTTAGTCCCAGGCCTGAGATCACAGCTCCTCTTGTCCTAGACCCAGGCCTGAGATCACAGCTCCTCTCCATCTTAGTCCCAGGCCTGAGATCACAGCTCCTCTTGTCCTAGACCCAGGCCTGAGATCACAGCTCCTCTCCATCTTAGTCCCAGGCCTGAGATCACAGCTCCTCTTGTCCTAGACCCAGGCCTGAGATCACAGCTCCTCTCCATCTTAGTCCCAGGCCTGAGATCACAGCTCCTCTTGTCCTAGACCCAGGCCTGAGATCACAGCTCCTCTCCATCTTAGTCCCAGGCCTGAGATCACAGCTCCTCTTGTCCTAGACCCAGGCCTGAGATCACAGCTCCTCTCCATCTTAGTCCCAGGCCTGAGATCACAGCTCCTCTTGTCCTAGACCCAGGCCTGAGATCACAGCTCCTCTCCATCTTAGTCCCAGGCCTGAGATCACAGCTCCTCTTGTCCTAGACCCAGGCCTGAGATCACAGCTCCTCTCCATCTTAGTCCCAGGCCTGAGATCACAGCTCCTCTTGTCCTAGACCCAGGCCTGAGATCACAGCTCCTCTCCATCTTAGTCCCAGGCCTGAGATCACAGCTCCTCTTGTCCTAGACCCAGGCCTGAGATCACAGCTCCTCTCCATCTTAGTCCCAGGCCTGAGATCACAGCTCCTCTTGTCCTAGACCCAGGCCTGAGATCACAGCTCCTCTCCATCTTAGTCCCAGGCCTGAGATCACAGCTCCTCTTGTCCTAGACCCAGGCCTGAGATCACAGCTCCTCTCCATCTTAGTCCCAGGCCTGAGATCACAGCTCCTCTTGTCCTAGACCCAGGCCTGAGATCACAGCTCCTCTCCATCTTAGTCCCAGGCCTGAGATCACAGCTCCTCTTGTCCTAGACCCAGGCCTGAGATCACAGCTCCTCTCCATCTTAGTCCCAGGCCTGAGATCACAGCTCCTCTTGTCCTAGACCCAGGCCTGAGATCACAGCTCCTCTCCATCTTAGTCCCAGGCCTGAGATCACAGCTCCTCTTGTCCTAGACCCAGGCCTGAGATCACAGCTCCTCTCCATCTTAGTCCCAGGCCTGAGATCACAGCTCCTCTTGTCCTAGACCCAGGCCTGAGATCACAGCTCCTCTCCATCTTAGTCCCAGGCCTGAGATCACAGCTCCTCTTGTCCTAGACCCAGGCCTGAGATCACAGCTCCTCTCCATCTTAGTCCCAGGCCTGAGATCACAGCTCCTCTTGTCCTAGACCCAGGCCTGAGATCACAGCTCCTCTCCATCTTAGTCCCAGGCCTGAGATCACAGCTCCTCTTGTCCTAGACCCAGGCCTGAGATCACAGCTCCTCTCCATCTTAGTCCCAGGCCTGAGATCACAGCTCCTCTTGTCCTAGACCCAGGCCTGAGATCACAGCTCCTCTCCATCTTAGTCCCAGGCCTGAGATCACAGCTCCTCTTGTCCTAGACCCAGGCCTGAGATCACAGCTCCTCTCCATCTTAGTCCCAGGCCTGAGATCACAGCTCCTCTTGTCCTAGACCCAGGCCTGAGATCACAGCTCCTCTCCATCTTAGTCCCAGGCCTGAGATCACAGCTCCTCTTGTCCTAGACCCAGGCCTGAGATCACAGCTCCTCTCCATCTTAGTCCCAGGCCTGAGATCACAGCTCCTCTTGTCCTAGACCCAGGCCTGAGATCACAGCTCCTCTCCATCTTAGTCCCAGGCCTGAGATCACAGCTCCTCTTGTCCTAGACCCAGGCCTGAGATCACAGCTCCTCTCCATCTTAGTCCCAGGCCTGAGATCACAGCTCCTCTTGTCCTAGACCCAGGCCTGAGATCACAGCTCCTCTCCATCTTAGTCCCAGGCCTGAGATCACAGCTCCTCTTGTCCTAGACCCAGGCCTGAGATCACAGCTCCTCTCCATCTTAGTCCCAGGCCTGAGATCACAGCTCCTCTTGTCCTAGACCCAGGCCTGAGATCACAGCTCCTCTCCATCTTAGTCCCAGGCCTGAGATCACAGCTCCTCTTGTCCTAGACCCAGGCCTGAGATCACAGCTCCTCTCCATCTTAGTCCCAGGCCTGAGATCACAGCTCCTCTTGTCCTAGACCCAGGCCTGAGATCACAGCTCCTCTCCATCTTAGACCCAGGCCTGAGATCACAGCTCCTCTTGTCCTAGACCCAGGCCTGAGATCACAGCCCCTCTCCATCTTAGACCCAGGCCTGAGATCACAGTAGCAAGAACCACTTGTCCCCCAGATAGGACCACCTCTGCCATGTCTGACTTTGCAGTGAGGGGAGCCCAGGTGTTTCATGAGCTCCTGTGGCTTTGTTCTCTTTGCCCCTCCTTCAGTGTGGCACGCCTTTCCTCCTTATCTGTGCCTTGGGCTTGTGTGGCTTCCTTTCGGTGGCCACCCGCCTCCTCCACCGCATGTTACCTTTCCCTGATTCTGGACCATGGTCTTTTATGCCTAGCAGGAACTGCTGGACCCTCCTTGGTGGCTGTGGGATGGGGGCACTTTTGGTGGGGTTGCCCTTGTGGCCTCCCATCTCTTCTGAGCTGGATGTTTTTGGGACAAATGCAGCCAGCCTCCTGAGGGTCTGATCTCCAGTCCTCTCTTGCAGCCGGCAGCCGTGAGGAACTTGCCACGGTTTCTCCGGTACCTGACTGCCCAGCTGCATCAACAGGTCCCGGGGGGTCTGGTGCTCTGGTATGACAGCGTGCTGCAAAGTGGGCATCTCAAGTGGCAGGATGAACTGAACAAGCAGAACAGGTGAGCACACGGGGTGGCCGTGAGGGCCGGGGTGCTGGCTGGGTTACAGGACATGCTGTGTCCGCAGCTGTGGGTAGAAGGGAGCAGGCTGCCATCCTGGTCATCAGCAGGTGTGGTTAGTCCCCGAGTGCCTGGTGCAGGGCTGTGTGCTGCAGATGATGACTTTCGGGAGCAGACTCTGGTCTTTGGCAACCCGCACTGGGGAGGCTGGCAGCAGATAGGTGTGCTGTCCCGCTGGGCCCGGCCTCAGCAGGTTCTTGCCATCTCCCAGGGTCTTTTTCGACTCCTGTGACGGCTTCTTCACCAACTATAACTGGCGGGAGGAACACCTGCAGCGGATGCTGGGGCAGGCTGGGGAGCGCCTGGCTGACGTGTACGTGGGTGTGGATGTGTTTGCTCGGAGCAGTGTGGTCGGAGGCCAGTTTGACACTGACAAGGTGGGTGGTGGCTGTTGCACTGTTGGCCAGTGGCCTGCTTGCCCTCTGTGTCCTCTTGTGAGCCTTCCATTCTCATCCTTGAAGGAAAAAAAGAGCTGCTGTTCCCCGAGAAGGGGAACCAAGGCACTGGGTGTCCGTCTTCCCTGCATCTAAGCTGTGTCTCTTCTAGCCGTTTCTCCAGTCAGATGATGTTGCATGTTTCATGAGTGTTGACGGGCACAAGTCCTGTTTACACTGCTGTCTCAAACCCAGACTTCTTTCTGGCCACATGCTTTGTTTGAGTGGCCCTTTGTACCCCAAGGTGCTCAGGGCTGTAGTGTGTCTCAGGGTAGCTGGGGTTCAAGGACAGAGGTGAAGACCTGGGTCTGAGACCTGCTGTGTGAGGACCTGTGAGATTTTTCTGCGAGTCACCGCAGCAGGGAGGGAGAACGGTCAGCAGCAGGTTCCGGCCTCCGTCTGTCAGTCCTGCCCCTTCCCTGGTGCAGGGAATCTGTCATGAGGGAAGTTGTAAATGAATCGGTTCTGGGTCCTCGTTCCATTTCTGTTGCTGTGATAGATAAAATACTCTGGCAAAAAGCAGTGGAGAGAAAGGGGTTTATTTCACTTTACTGTTCTAGCTTACTGTCTGTCATGGGGAAGTCAAGGAACTTGAGCTAGCTGGTCACATCACATCCACAGTTAGGAGCAGAGAGAAAACGAACGCTTTCCCGCTTGCTGGTTTGGTCTCAGGTAGCTTTCTCCTTCTTGTGTACTGTTTGGGACCTCCCGCCCCTGCCTGGGGAACGGTGCTGGGTCCACAGTGGTCTGGGTCTTCCTACATCAAGACGGTCCTCACAGACAGGCCCACAGGCCACCCCACCAACAATGTAGACAATCTCATTGAGGCTTTGTTCCCAGGGGATTCTGTGTTGTGTCAACTTAACATTAACCCTAACCAGCACATCCAGTAACTGCAGAGTCTTTGCCCTCCGTGGTTCTAGTCATGGTACGAGAGGTATCTGGGAAAAGGGGAGAGGAGGAGGGAGACGCACCAGTGCGTGCACACCTCCCCTTCCTGCCCACCAAGACAGCAGCCTCAGGATTGAGCCTCGTTTTCTTCCAGCCGCCTCTCTGGCGCCCTCCCACCCTCCTCCAGCTGACAGAACAACGTGATGAAGCCAGAGACCCTCACGGAACAGGAGGGAAAGGCTGCAGAGCTTCCACAGCTTTTCCCCCTCTGGGCCTGAGCGAGCCTTCTCTGTCAGCTGGCATCCAGGAGGTCTGCTCAGACTGGTCCGTGTGGTCAGCAGATCCTTCACTTCTATTTCCCCAGTCGCTGGAGCTGATCCGGAAACATGGCTTCTCGGTGGCACTGTTTGCTCCTGGCTGGGTCTATGAGTGTCTGGAGAAGAGCAACTTCTTCCAGAACCAGGACAAGTGAGCCCCACCATCCAAGGGCTTTTCATGGGTTGGCAGGAGGGAGGGCATCTGGCAGTAGCTCAGATCCTGCTCTGCTCCAGTGTCCAATGGGGTGATGACTGGAGGATGAGGGGCCATGAGTAGGAATAGGGTGACCACCCTCACTACTTCCTGAGAGGGTCGTAGAGGGACCAGGAGGAGCAAGCCTGAGTGTTCAGTTCCTACAGATGATGCCTGGCCTGCCCGTAGTCTCCCTGGAAGGCCTGTCTTAGAGGGCCTGGGAGACTTCCCCCCAGCTACACACAGGGTCCCAGGGATTTGGCTCCCATGTCCTCTTTCTCTGGCAGGTTCTGGAGACTGCTGGAGCGCTTTCTGCCCACACACAGCATCTGCTCCCTGCCCTTTGTCACCTCGTTCTGCCTGGGCATGGGAACACGAAGAGTCTGCTATGGCAAGGTGTGTGGGTCACTGTGCTGGGAGGACAGGGTGGGGCTGTGCCATCCTCTGTGTCGGACTTCTGGCTTCAGCTGAGATTGGAGAGCCACCAGGTGTGAGCAGGAGTGATTGCCAGTGCCCTCCTGGCCCCACCTGCAAAGTCACCCCGCCCTTGCTCTGTTGCTCATTCTGCTTCTGTCTTCAGGAGCAGGCGGTGGGGCCCTGGTACCATCCAAGTGCCCAGGAGACCCAGCCCCTTGTTGGCGAACACAAGCTGGCTGGAGACAGCCAGGGATGGGTGAAGACACACTGCTGTTTGGCCGATGCCTGGCATGGGGGCAGCTCCCTGCTTCTCCGGGGGGTGATCCCACCTGAGATTGACAGTGTGGCTGTGAGGTGGGTGAGTGATGGGTGAGGTGTGTGGATCTCTAGTTCTGTCCTCCATGTCTATAGCTAAACTGGGCTGTGGGACCCTGGAGCCTAGAATGACAGATCCCAGATTGCTTCTTAAACACATTGCATGAGCCTTTGGATCCTCCTTAAGTGCAGCATCAGCTCAGTGCAGTGTCATGCTGTGGTCCCCACTGCCTCGTCCCCAGACATCACCCTTCTTTGCCCGAGTGTGGCCGCCTTAGATGTCTCCTGGGAGGGGAGTCAGAACCAGAACCGTGCGTCTACTGCAGGGTCTGGCCGTGGGGAAGGCTGTTCCCTGGCCATCGGACCTGGTGTGGGGCTTTTACTACCTAGCTCCCATGCCTGCAGGGCGGGGTGGGTAGGGGCTCCAGGTATTCAGCTTCTCCGCAGAGCCCAGCCTCGGTCTCTCATGGGGGGGTCTCTCCAGGTTGTTTTCCCTACAGGTCCCGGTGCCACCGAAGCTTCTCCTGTCCATGGTGTACAGGCTTGAAGGATCAGTGGCTGTCCAGGTGTCTTTGGAGCTCACGACGGGAGACGCCAGCAGCTGTCATGTTGGTGGCATCTCAGTGTTGAATGGTGAGGGGCTGGGGCTGGGTGCCCCCGTGGGAGGGGAGTGGAAAGGCCCTGGTTCTTGGTGGAGCTGCTGTGGGCAGTGCTCACAGCTCCTGCCTTGGGAGTCTGAGGTATGTGGTGAACACCTGCACACGGAAACTTCTCAGTCTGAGCTCCGCTCTGTGCCGGGCAGCAGCAGCCTTCTGGGCAAGTTGGGCATAGGTTTCCTGCTGGCTGTGGCACACTGATGGGCACACAGGTGGGGTGGGGAGAGGCGAGGTGGGAGAAGCCAGAATGAGTGAGACCAGCCAGTCCCAGACATACATCCTATTTGACCTCCAAAACCTTTCCTTGTGGTGCCCAAGCATCTGTCCCAGCCATGGGTCTAACCTAGACTCTGGGCTGCCCCACCAGGTGGACATCCTGCCCCCTGGGTTTTCTTCTGGGATTCTGCTTTCTCAAGTCTGTGTCTCCTGCAGCAGAAACTGGCTCAAGACACAGACCTCGACCCCTCCGGGTGCCCCCCACCAGGCTGGCCAGATGGGCAGGCCGCTGTGGCCAGCAGCTCAGTGGGGGCTGGATCCAGCGGTGAGTCTCTTTGCTGTCACGTCCCCAGAGGTGATGGCCACACATGGAGGACTTGGGAGGGTCCCCCACTGGGAATTCTTAGAACTAGAGGGGAGGAGAGGCCCTGGTCTGATGGTCCAGGTTTGAGCAGCTTTGAGAGACCGAACACTCACTAGGCAGTCCTTGTAGGCACCTACTATGGTCCTGGGGTCCTCACAGCCTCACAGACCCTCCGGGATGTTTCCCATTCCTGCTGGGCCTTTGCCCAGCTGGCCTGTGACCGGCCTGTGTGCTCTTGCAGCTGCTATGAGGTGAGTCTGCAGGGGTGCTTGCTTCAGGACCTCTTGGTGAGCTTCTCCCGGTCGCAGGGCAGCCGAGAGGAGGAGAGCTTCATTTGTCGCCTTGGAGAGGTCCAGGTATGTGTGTGGGAGCTGGGCCTGTGGGGAGAAGGGGTGAGTTGAGGAGCAGCTGGGCCCACGAGAAGGAGAGTGGGTGGATGGAGGACTGTCTGGACCCGTGAGGAGGATGGTGGAGCTTCTGAGCTCATGGATGGATGGAGGATCATCTGGGTCCCCGGGAAGGAGGGGTGGGTAGAAGATGGTCGGGTGGAGGAGGGTCTGAGCCTGTGGGGAGGAACAGTGGATGGGGGAACTCAGGAGAAGGCTCTTGGGGACATCCCCTTATGTCCTCTCTGGGCATCTCTCTCCTGCTAGGTGGTTGATGCCAACAGCCTGCTGGCCCCTCTGCCCCGGGTGCAGAACATCACCATCTCGCAGGTCCGCTGGCTTCCACTGACTTCTGCGTCAGAGGGACTCCCAAGCCGGCTCCTTCTCAGCTGTACTCTACACTGGTCCTACCTCCTTCTCCAAGCCCGGTGCTTCCGAATCCACTGCTGGCCACAGACAGGCTCTCTCAGCCGGGAGCCCCCTGGGGCAGAGAAGCCCACGTTCCTCGGCCTGGCCTTTGCCAACCAGTACCGGGTGGTGGACTTGGCAGTGGAGGCTGCCGGATCTGGGCGGGATGGTCGTGTGGAGTTCCTGGTGGAGCCTGTCCCCAGGGAGGGTTTCCTGGTGCCTCAGGCAGAGTGGGGCAGGGCAACCCTGCTGTATTCTGCAAGCCCCCACCCTGGTGAGCAGACCCCAGAGCATAGCACCTCCTAGAGTCTAAGATAGGTTTCTTCCTGGCCTGCTGCCTAGGGCAGAGTTGGATGCCGAGTACGCTGGGTCCTCAGGAGGCCAGGTCTCTGGGCTTTGGCTCTACTCTCAGGAAGCTGTGCAGAGGGTCTGGGGTGACAGTTCCCTAGTGAATGAATAGCTTTCTGGTTGTTTGTAATGCTCTCTGTGGGATGCATTTCCCAAGGAAGGATAAGATTTGAGGTTTCCTCCAGAAAATTCCATAAAGAATGTTCCTCATAGGCTGAAAGCTGAGTGTGCCAAGAATGACCTTTATCCTGCAATTGGACAAGTGGAAACAAGCCTCACTGGTGGCAGGAAGGCTTCTGAGTGGGGGGCCAGGATTTATGAGGTTCTTTGTGGATAGAGAGGCAACAGCCCTCAGGGTACAGGTGGGAGCCAGGGGCACCTGCAGGGTGGTGGAGATGGTGCCCTCGGGCCTGGGAACCCCACCAAGTAGGCACTGGCATCGCACTCCCTCCTGTGTAAGGTGAGCCAGCCACAGTGCAGACAGCCTGCAGTGTTGGTGACTTTGACTGTCCCCACGAACCCCAAGTCCCTTGCCTGTGCTGTGTCTCCCACAGACTGTTCATGGTGAAGATGCAGAGGCATTGGGAGGCTTCCTCCTTCCTCTTGTGCCCCCTTTGAGTCCTGCCCCATCCTCGGCAGCTGCTCTGCAGGGTCTGTTGGTACCAGGCCAAGTGGACGCTTGCTGCTGTGTGTCTGGGACATGAGTAATTCTGCCAGTATTTTCCCTGCTCATTCTGGTGGCCGTGTGGGGTCTGCTGTGACTGTGGGCAGAGACAGGCTCTGAGGGGTCTCATACTCAGCCACATAGGCTAGTGGTGGGTTCATCTCTGGCCCTCCCCAACCTTCCTGTGCTGAGATGTGACTGACAGGCTGGAGGGCACACCTACGGGCCTGAGAGTGGCTCTCCTGTTGTAGTAAGGGGAGAGGCCGCCAGATGGCAGGGCAGCCAGTTGCCATTTCTTAGAGATGTAGGGGTTGGATGGGTGGGGCTTCTTCATGTCTCTGAGTGCCAGGCATGGAGGGGAGGGCATCTTCTGTCTGTTGGGGTCCAGTGCTGTCCTCTCCTACCTTCCTATACTCCTTGGAACTCTTGAGTGAGGTGTAAGGATGGGAGTCAAGCCTGGGATTGGGAACATTCTGCGCTGTCTCTGCATTCCCACCAGCTGTCACAGGGGCAGCATACAGGGCAGGGCCTCTGCTGGAACCCAGCTGCTCCTGTGCCCTGTTGTGGTTCTGGGACTTGTGAGGTGTGTGGGGAGCACCAGGGTCTGTGCTGGTCTTGCTTTCTTTGGTTCATCTGACTGAACTTGCTCTGGAGTCCTGTCTCTTGACCTGAATGGGGTGCTCTTCCTGGTCTCTAAACCCCTGGCGTGGGGATTAGTGGGTGGCGGGGCAGGGCCGCCCTCCCAGTTGCGGTCGGCGGAGAATTGCTGTGTGCCCTGCTTCTCTTGTGGCACAGAGTCGGCTTTTTAAAGTGCTGCTTACTTGGAATATTTTATTCAGAGGAGGAGGGAAAATTTATAGTGGCAATTATTTCCTCACAGTCTGGTGAGCAAGCAATTAGAAGTAAGGGGGCTTAGCGGAGCGTGGCGCGTGGCAGAGCCACACAACGCCACTCCCCAAGAGCATGGTCCCCGGTCCTGGCAACACAGACTCCTGTGCAGGAAAATTAATCTACCGGCATTTAAGTCCGGGCCCCTCTGGTGGGTATAATCGCTCGGAAATAAATTATCCGATGTGAAAAATGAGAAGGCGTCTTGGTGAGATTGGGTTCCCAGCTACAGCTCTTGAGCTCTCTCTCTGCATGGACTCTGCTGCCCCCATTTCGATCTGCCCCCATTTCGATCTGCCCTGCTTTTTCTACCCGTCAGAGGTTGGGGCTCAGAGGCTGGAGCAGCACTGACCTTCAAGCAAATGTGGGCCCACAGCTCAGGACATCCACACCAGGGTTTACTTCTGTTTTGCGCCCTCAGCTCTGTGACCTCTTGAATTCAGCTGATCACCGCAGCTGTGGGTTTGCCCAAGAGCTGCTGCTTGAGGTACAGCTTGCCCTAGAATCTAGAATCTGTGTGTTAGGGGTGTGGGTACAGAAGGCCAACCTGGAGAAGGGGGTTGGCACCTTACAATACTCTGCCCAGTCTTTGGCTTCCGCATTACCACCTGGCAACCACCTGCCTATTCCCATAGTCTAGTCCTCATTAGTGTACCCCCGCCCTCTGTGCCAGGAGCTGCCAAATCAGAAAGAGCTGTCCTGGTTTGAAGAAAGAAATCTTTATTAATCTTAATAATACTGTTAATTTGAATGGTCACACCGTGGAAGCATACAGAATGGTAAGAAAGGAAGCCTGGGGCTCGGCTGCAGTCCTAGGGTAGGGGTAAGGTGGGGGAGGGGTCCGAGCTGCTGTGGGAAAAGGGTCCGAAACAGCAGAAGGCGAGGGGCTCTGTACAGAGGACAGAGCCGGAGGCAGGCGCGGGCTCTGTACATCAGGAATAGAAAAGGAGGGTCTGTTCCCGTAGCCTCGGTAGCTGATGCTGGATAGAAAGTGAGGTGGTTTTATTTTGAAGTTTCATGAGACTGGAGCCGTGGTGGGAGCCATGGTTTCTGTAATTCTTTTGCTTCTTACCCTACACCACCTATGCCTGCCTTGCCAGGGGCTTCGCCACCTGCTTCCTGCACCACCCAGTAGGCCTGCTGCCTCCCTGGGACTCACCACTGCCACTCCTGCCCTGGGAGCTGGGACGGGCTGCGGTCCAGCTGGTCTCCCCTGGGGCGGCCAGCCCAGACCTCCCCCATTCCTCTCCCTCCCCACGGGTCTGCTCGGACTTAGCCCTCCAGATTCGTAGCACCGTGACTCCCAACCTCGAGGTGCAGTCCAAGGCTGGCCCCTTCAACACCCCCCGCCCCCCTCCACAGTGGGCCTGAGCCCTGCAGGGGAGGGGAGAGGAGGGCTGGGCCCTGCAGACAACGGAGGTTGGCCCACGAGCTCACAGTGCTTCGCCCACACAGGCCCTGTGCCCAGGGGGGTCCCCACTGGCCGGGCTCGCTTCGCTTTCTGCAGCCGGGAGCGCTCTTCCGCAGGGGAGAGGAGCAGGGGGTGCCCCAGACATCTGGAGCCTTGTCAGCCCTTTGCGTTGGAGTTGGACCCCAGGGCGGCTGGTTGGACGGCCGAGGCCCTGGCCCCGCACAGTGGGGCCACGGCGGAGACCTTGGAAGGGTGGCGAGCCGGGCCCCTCCCCGCCCCCAGCCCTCATCACTGGCCGCGCCCCTGCAGGGGCCGCCCCACCCAGAACCCCCTGCCCGGGAGGGGAGGGGCGGGAAGGAAGACTGGACAGCAACCGGAGCCCCTCGGCAAGGCTCGGCTCGGCTCGGCTCTCCCCTGCGCCGGGCCGGTCCGCCGCACCGTCCCCATTGCGTGGTTCCCGCCGCACCGCCAGCCGGGCAGGGCTGCTCTCCGGCTTCCCCTGCGGGGCGGGCTCCCTCGGTGCGGGCGTACGCCAGACGTGGACTTGGATGCCTCTTGATTTGGTTGTGATTGGTTTTTTTGTTGTTGCTTGGATCTTAACATCTTTTTTTTTGTTGTTTTGTTTTTTGTTTTGTGATTTTTTTTTGTTTTGTTTTTTTGTTTTTGCCCTTCATGGTCCGAGGAGACGGTGGAAGGTTTCACTACAACAGAAACAGAAAGGCGGGTTTGCAGTTTCTCAGGAGCATGGGGCGGGGGGCACACGGACGGACACCACGGTGCCTGTGGTCCCCGGTCTAGCTTGTAAGCCCTAGCACCCCTAAACCTGCTCCTACAGCTTCAGGGACCCCACTGCAAGCTAAAGTAGACCTGTCCTATAGGGATGGGTAGGCCTGTGGGTCGGTGACCGGAACCTGGCCATGGGAGCAGGGACCTGGGTCAGCTGGCCTGCAGGGAGTCTCCAGGCTGAGGTGGGGAGAGCTGAGTCAGGCCTGCTGGTTGATAGGACTAAGTCCAGGGAAGGACATGGTGGAGAACAGTTGCAAAGACGGGAGGAGAGGGAGTGAGGGACCTACAGCTCTGGTAGCCTTGCAGGCCTAGCATCCCCAGAGTGCTACAGATGTGTGTCCTGGGACCAGATCCCACTAGCTCTCCAGGGCTTTTGGGCTGACCTCAGGTCCCACCCTGCATCCTTTCTGGGGCTCTAGGCAGTGTGGAGTGAGGTGGGTCCCCACAGGTCACAGAGCCACACATTGTCTGACTGAGGCCTGCATGACTGCAGAGAGGCCCCAGAAAGGAAGGCAATACTGTGTACTCTGCCTGACTGCCAGGATCCTCCCTTTTTCTGGAACGGACTTTGATTAAAAGGCATATTGGGGCCTGTGGATGGGAGTGGTGGCTCAGTAGGTCAAGGACAAACACCCAGAACCATCTGCTTCAGGTATCTGAGGTGGTGGTCAGGCTCAGGGAGGGCTTCCAGGCCCAGTCAGGGCATGGCCATTTCATTTCTCACAGCAGCTCTAAGGAATCCCAGAGCCCTGTGTGACCACAGCAGTTTGCACACTGAGTAGTGTGCCCGTGACTGCCCGGACAGGACACATTATCAGTAAACATTAAATAGAAATACTAGCCTCAGCTGAGTGGGGGCCCAGAGTGGGGAGGTGGCTTCTCCTGCCATTCCTGGTAAAGGCAGACTGGAGTCCCCCACCCCCAGACTGGGAAAACCCCCTGACTAGGTCTGGAACCCCTGGTGTTCATCAGTCACCGAACACTGGGGGCAGCTGGGCCTTCAGGGGGCTGGCTGAGGTGGCTCTGGGGGAGGCTCGGCCTGGCACTCTGGAGCTGTGAGGGCCCGTGCTGCCCCGAGACGTGGGCATGGCCCTGGCAGGTCCCCCCGGCCTGGCCCCCACTGTATGCATACTGTACCTGAAGTGGCTTGGGTGGTACAACATCAATAACGTCAAGATAGGAAACCAAGGTTCAGACATACAGGAAAACCAGGGTCAGAGACACACACACCAGCATGGGTGGGGTGGGGAGACCAGCTGGCTGGAGGTAAAAATCTATGGACTTTAGAGTCGCAGAGGGTCAGCGGCGCGTGTCGCTGACTGGGAGGGGCGCACTGTCCTCCTGGTGGCTGTGCTTGGTGTTGGGGCTGTAGGGTTTGGTTTGGAATAGGCAGTGGTGTGAATGCTGTGAGGGGGGGTCTCTTGCTAGTAGGGGGTGAAGCGGCTGTACCCTCCTCGGCAGAGGCTAGCCTGCAACATCAAAGATGAAAAACAGCCAATCAGTACCGTCTTTTGGTAGCAGGAGGAAAAAAAGCAAAAAGAAAAAAAAAATAAGGAAAAACAAAAAGAAATAGCTAAATCCCATTTCCTTCCCCTCACGATCTTCCTTTGGGAAGAATGGGCTTCCGGTTGTCATGGCAACTACAGCCCAGTTCCTCGGTGGTGGTGGTGGTGGGGTCTTGGGGCTGGGAGGGGGTGCTCCTGCCTCACAGACTTTTAAACTGTCTCTGGGCCACATCTTGGCGCTTTGGCTGGCCTCACCATCTCCCCTGGTAGAGGGATGTCCAAGCGTGAGCCCTATCTCCTCACGCCTGCTGGGCTGGTCAGGAAGACCCTGACTATCCTCACTGTGGCTCCAGAGTCGGGGGCACACCTGCAGGTGACAGATCCTAGGGGGTGCTCTGACGGGTCCACCTGCTGGGCACAGCTCCCAGAGTGCGTCCACCTTGAGGGATGGGCCTGCCGGGCACAGCACCTGGGTCTCGGGATCTCCTAAACTCAGCTCTGTGTCCTGTGAGGGGCAGTTTCTGTGGAGATGCCCACCCTCACCCACCAGTTTTTCTGAAAAAGGGAAGAAGATGGCAAATGGAAGAGGAGGAAGGCGGGGAAGAGTGGAAAACCCGGACAGTGAGCGGTGGCCATCCGGAGGGGCCCTGTGAGCTAGTGGAAGCTTTGAGCTAGCAGCTGCACAGAGGTTGCACCATGCAGGGAACCTGGGCCTCCGGCCACAGTATCAGGGTCTCTTCCTGGATAGCTGTGGCGCCTTCCCCAGCAAGAGTCTATTCTCTGAAGCTGCCACAGCCCCCCACAGGCCTGCTCTGGATGTCTGGCCTTGTTAAAAATCAACAAAGGTAAAAATTGCAAGAGAATCATCAAAACCAAGGGAGGTAGAAAAAAAATTCACGTTGCCTCTGAGCCTTCTCTCTTCTTACTACTGTTTTCATCTTTGATGCTGGATGCCAAGCTAGCTACAGACACACATTAACATCCCTGGGGGTGGGAGTGGACACAGGAATTGGGTTGTGCACTGGACACAGACTTGGGGTACAGAGGGGCTGGGCTATGTTGACAGCTGGGCATACACACATACACACACACGCACACACATACATGCACACAGACACGCTGGTCCACCCGCTCTCCCACCTGCCAGGGTCTTCTCCACCCTGAAGCATTGGAAGAGGCTGGGGTGATCAAGCACCATTTCCCAGGGGCCCTGGAGCCCCGGGGAGAGTCTGGGAGGAGAGACTGATGAGAAACAGTGGTTGGCTCTTGGAACTCTAGCCACATAAAAATTGGAGGGTAGGGGCTTTGCCTCAGGCATCCCGCAGGGAGGAATGGCTGCACCTGCGGACACTCCCAGGCAGGGAGGAGAGGCCATGGCTTTCCTGGTGCTGAGAATGGAGGGCCCAGATGGGATTGTGGTCATGGGGTTCAGGAACACAGATCACACAGTAGGATGCTTCCCAGAGGACTGGTCATTACGGAGGGATTGGACCTTCCCCCAGCTGGTTCTTCCCAAGTCTCCAGGATGAGGCACCAGGTGGAGGTTTCAGCCTCTCCCCTAAGGCCTTGCCCCTCCCATCCAATTACAGGGATGGGCCCTCCTGGCCATTACTGGCATCAAGGGCCAGGTGGGCCGTTCGGCTTACCATGGTTCCGATGCTGTAGGTTGCTGTGGGGCCGATGGTGTGATGGTAGGGATCAGCGGCTGCATAGACTCTGCCATAACTAGGGGAAGGGGAGCAGCAGCTGAAGCAGGTGACAGCAGACCAGCCTTCCCCCACAAGGACCCTTCCTCCCCCATGAGGCCCTCCTCGAACGCAGCCTGTCCTTCCTGTTTGGAAGGAAGTTTCTGGAATTTAGGCGGCTGCCCCTCCCATGTGTCTTCGGTGCCTCAGTGCATCCTGCTTGGTGATGCAAGGAGGGCGTGGAGTCCTTGGGTAGTCCATCTGACTCCATCCCCAGCAAGAACCAGGGCTAAGAGGGAGACCAGGGGGCGGGGGAGAGGTCAGGGACACCATCACCCAGGAGGTGGCACTCTCAGATGACCATCCACTTGCCTAATTTGTGCAGTGACAACTTCTTAGAGGACAGGGCTAGGCCATAGGGCCAAGCATGCCCTGTAACTAAAGGTAGAACTGGGTAGGGCATCACACCCATCTGGGAGAGATCTCAATACTGTGGCCGGAAGGCCCGGGCTCCCTGCAGGGTTCAGCTTTAACGCAGCTGCTAGTGAAAAGCTTTCATCAGCTCGTAGGGCTCCTTTCCTTGTTTCCAGTGCTTATGTACACCTGGCAGGTTGGGGCAAAAGGCTGCAGGGAGGGTATGGGTTGGAGGGTCCCACCTGCTGCTGGGGGGCCTGGTGGGCCCCAGGCCAGGGGGGGCACGTGAACAAAAGTGACAGCTTTCTTGAGGAAAGATTTATTACATGATTCAAACAGCCACAAGGCCGGGAATCTGAGGGAAACGGCACTAGGCTCAGCTGCCTATGGGGGGGCACTTAAGAACCTGCCTACGAACAAAGTGAGCCGCAGCCTTCCTCCTGGGGATGCTCACAGCTGGGGGTGGAGGGGGCTGGCTGCTCCCAAATGACACACACTGGACCACAGTTGTTTCTTAAGGCCAAGTGAAGGCTCCTAGTTTTCCTTCTCATAGGGTCCTTGAGAGCTGGGGGCTGTCAGACCTCTGGGTTAGGAATCAGGTATCTGTTGAGACATCAGGAAGTGATGGGTCTTGGGAGCTCACTGGCTCTCCAGTCTGTGAGCTGCATCTGGCTGTCCAGACCCTGCACCCACCAGATGCAGGCACCCACAGGTCCCGAGTTGTCGGTGAGACTCTGTGTCTTTCTGAACTGAGCCCTCCAAAGATCCTGGCCCGTCCTCCCCCCATATAACCCACTGTAGCCTGCCGCCCCCCAGCCTCACCTGTCGCTGTAGGCTGCTGCTGCTGCTGCTGCGGGCTGAGCGTATCTGTAGGCTGCATAGCCTCCCTGTAGGGGAGGTGGGAAGGAGAGATGGCAGATGGACTTAGCAAGGCTCCCTCAGAGTAAGGCTGAGCCAGAAAGGTTGAGGTGGACAGACCCTTAGGCAGGCCACACGCCTGCTCAGTCTTCCCCTCCACTTTCCATTTCCACTGTGGCCTGGTGTGGCTTAGGTGGTCTTGACCTGGGAAATTGGTCTCTGGTCTGACGGAGGTCTGAGAACTGTTAAGGGGCACTGTTGAAGATGAGACAGGGCTGCCCATCTGTCCATCCGTCCATCCATCCATCCGTCCATCCGTCCATCCATCCACCCATCCATCCATCCATCCACGCATCTTGTCTCACCCTAATTTGTGACTTTAGCACATACTAGTGAGCACCAATTATACCTCTGACTGCATGCTGGTCCCAGCACACAGTGGGTACCCACAGACCCACCAACAGACCGGTTACTAGATACCCACAGGCATGGGGAACTCTTTGGTGACTCTGGACACAAGGAAAGGTAAAGGGCAAGGGTCCCAGCAGGGATTTGTTCAGATGTGCCTTGGCTTTAGATAGTGGGTGGTTGAATTATGGATGATTTCCCAGGACCTAGGTACAGCCACATTCATTGGGTGGGATGCTCAGTGAGGGCTCTGAGCCACAAAAAGCAGTGAGCACTGTTCCAGAAGAGGGAGGCACAGGACCCCACACAGAGGCCTGAGAGGAGGCCTGCCCCTAGTCTCTCTGAGAACTTCTGCACCCAGGCTTGAGTGTTGATTTTAGTGCGATTAGGGATGAGGGAGAGCCACCTGCTACCCCTCAAATAACCCCTTGCAGGGTGGCAGGATGTGGCAGGATGCTTTCAGTGTATAAAGTTGCTGGGACAGTCAGCAACACCCGTGGTGAACACCGACGACCCAGGTTGTGCAGTGCTGGCATCCCTAGAGATGCTCTGTGTGCACTGGTGCCCTGGCACCCTGTTCGTCCCAAGGGTAGGAGGAGCGAGGCCATGAGGGCAGATGCTGACTTTTCGTGGACACACACAGAGCATTGGACTTCTACCCGCCCCTCCCCAGGGCTACACTTACATAAATCTCAGCACCATAAAATCCATCCTGATACACGACCCTGGAAGCAAACGGACAAGAGAGTGGTGGGAACGCTGGAGAGGTGGGGTAGGCCGGCTCCGGTGTCTGCTGAGGAGCGGGGGGGCACGGTGCCAGCCCCGCCCACGGGACTGGCATTTTAACAAGCGTTTGCTCCAGTGCCCTGTTTGGTATAACAATAGAGTAACACCCTTGCTGGTCAGCTCCTTTCTCCCCAAACCCAGGGGCCCATCAGCCCAGTCCTGTCGTCCTCCCCTCCTCTCTCATGAACCTGCCACCCATCAGCACTGGAGGGCACTGGACCCCGGGGAAGGGACCAGGGAGGGCTCCCAGAAAGCCCTCGCTGGACCCCAGGGCTGACAAATGCCCTGTGTGGCATCCAGATTAGGTGGAGGTGCTGAACGACTCCTTAAAGGCCAGTGAGTCTCGGAGGTGTCCCCTATGTGGGATGAGGCAGGCAGGTGCAGTGCTAGGTTCTGGGATTCCCACTTCCCTGCCCTGCTCCCCAGTTCTTGAAAGGCTGTTGAGCCCCCGCCATGTCCCCTGGCCTTCCTTCAGCCTCCCCTTCCAGGTACTCACGCTCCATAAGTCGGGATCGGGGGCGGAGGTGGTGCAGCTCGGAACGTATTATACACGGCCCGGCCCCGGCCCCGCAGGTGTGCACCCCGGTAGGCAACGGCTGTGCCCGTGGTGGGGTAGGGGAAACCGGTCACTGCAGAAAAAGCGCATGGGAGAGTGGGTGAGGGAACGTGGAAAGCCAAGGCTTAGAGCCCCAGTTGCCCTACCTCACCCCATCCCACCTGTCCCTGTCCCCCACCTTTACCTGCATAGAATTCAGGCCCATAGACGGCCCCTACCACAGGATTTAGCTTCCAGCCTAGAACAGAAAGAACCCAGTCACTGGCTTCTTGAAATGACTCTCACTTCTCCTTATGTCAGGGACCTCCTGAGGCAGTGATGAGGCCTGTGGGGGAAACTCTAAGGCTTGGCTTCCAAAAAGGGTAAGACCCTGGCTAGGGATGGGCAGAGAAGATGGGACATTGACCCCAGATCCCTCTCCCCACATTGTAGCCACATGCTGCTGCAGGAACAGCAAGCATTCTCACTCTAGCCCATCACTGGGTTCCTGGGTTCTCCCTGCATCATGCCCTCCCCAGCCTGCTCCTGGGCACCGCTGCCCCAGGACACCAGAAGCCTGGAGTATAAGGGAAAGAAACAGGGAATACACTTTGAAACATCTGCATTCACAACTGGGATGAATCCTCCTGTAGAGATGCTGGGGCAGGGAGGAGAAGGAGGAGGAGGAGGAGGAGGAGGAGGAAGAGGAGGAGGAGGAGACTTTACCACCGAGCTGCATCCCTCAGTAATATATTTCTTAATATATTCTGTTTTATGGGTATGCGTGTATTGCCTGCATGTATTCAAGTGCACCCTTGTGCAATGCCGTCGAAGGTCAGAAGAGGACGTCGGACTTCCCTGGAACTGGAATTTCGGATGGTTGTTAGCTGCCATGTGGGTGCTGGGACTCGAACCCTGGTCCTCTGAGAGAGTAGCCAGTGCTCTTAACCGCCGAGCCATCTCTTCAGCCCCAATAATATTTTTTTCCATTTAAATTTGCTTGTTATTGTTCATAACTTCTTTCACCTAGTGAGCAAAACCCAACATGTCAGGGTGGGAAGAGGAGGAGGAGGAGGAGGGGGAGGAAGAGGAGGAGGAAGAGGATGAGGAGGAAGAGGAAGAGGAAGAAGGCCATTGGATTGAAGACAGGGATAATGACAGGGCCAGCAAAATGGCTCAGTGGGTAAAGGCGCTTGCTGCCAAACCTGGTAACCTGAGTTCAATCCCCTGGACCCACATGGTGGAAGCAGAAAACTGACTCTTGCAAGTTGTCTTCTGATCTCCACACACGTTGTGGCATGCCCATGCACACACAAACAATAAATATTTAAAAAAATAGAATAGCGGTGGTTAATAGGTCCCGAGCACTCCAAGTGTCAAATGCTGTTCTCAACTCTGGGGTTCTCACCACCCACAGGGCAGGTGTCACAACCACAGATGACAAGGTGGAGTGGCCGAGCTGGATCCGAACCCACATCCTCAAGTAAGATGGGGTTTCTAGCTACTCCCTGAGGCTTCGGCCGGACTCGGCACCTCGGTCTCTCCCTTTCTGCAGGTGGGCATGGGCAGTCTTCTTTACCCAGTGGGACTCCGAAGCAAAGCCCTGATTATCCTTGAGGCCTCTGGGGGTAGAATCCAGCTGGATTCCAGTGGGCTCCAGGTCAGGCTGTCAGTCAGTGGGAAGGCTTAGCCCACCCTGCTCAGCTTACCCAGGTCTGATCTGTGTAGTCCTCCTTCCAGTGCATGAGGAGGAAGGACAGAGACAACCTGAGTCACTGTCCAGCTGGTGACAGGCTACTATAAGTAGCAGGCTATACATGGAAGTCTCTAACCCCAGTTCTAACAGCCTCACGCAGGAGGACAGTGAGTGGGAAGCATCAGGGTGAAGCATCCAGGTCTGTCCCTCCTGGGGACCCACTCCCCTCACCCCACAAGTCCAAGCCGCTGTCTGTCCTCATCCTGCTAGCTCTCCACCTTGTGTCCAAACTGGCTGGGACTCTAGAATCTTTCAGCTAAGGTTAGGAGGGAAGAAACGTTTATTTGGGAAAACCTCCCACTCCAAGAATGGCCTTTTGTTAGCTGTAGACTCCTAATGGAGTGAGGTTGAGGTGGTCCCATCTTCCCAAGGCTCCTTCCCAGGCTCTTCTGGGTTTATCTTGGAGAAGGAGAGTCAGAGGCTGCATGCCTGCCTCAGAGGCCCTAGGCACCTTGACCTGTCCTGACCCTCTGGGAACTTCCACTTGCCTGCTGGCTCTACTTCAATTAGGCATCCTGAGGACCCACCAGGATGACTCTGTGTCTACTGTAAGTAGGGTACCTGGTAAAGCCTGGTGGGTTTGTTTCCTTCAGTGGGGCTCCTCCGCCTCCCCAGTGACGAACTTCAGAGTCCTCTGTGTTAAAACACCTATGAACTACTCCCACTCCTGGCCAGGCCACAGAGAACCCGAGCCTATCTGCACCCTTGGGATTCCTGCCTGGCCAGTGGAGGCACTGAAGTAAAACTCCCCTGCAGTGAGCACAGCCTTCTGCCTCTCCCCATTCAGCATCAGTACCCCGAGGAGCCAGCACAGAACATAGCTGCTCAGGGCTGGATTTGCTTTGAATAGCTCATTCTTCAGATATGCCCAGACAGCAAAGACTCAAGGATCTTGAATGAAGAGTGGAAAGGGGTTCTGGGTGTGTCATGACCCCAGGGGACCACCTGAAGCCACAGAAGTCAACCAGGCCCCTTCACTGCTGGGGCTGGTGCACAGCAGCTGATCTTTGAGACAGACTTTCCAGTGGGTGTCATGCTTCTGCCTTCATGTCCAGTCTAGGGTCCAGAGGGTCATTTGAGAGGCCTTCGGTGGTGAGTGTTCACGTTGGCTAGGTCACTGTGGTCACCTAGCCCAAGCTACAGAATGGGGAGCCTATGACTGAGGCCGTGGGGCCAAGTTCAAGCTCTCTGGTTGTCAGAATACCTTCATCTTAAAGATTTACCAAGTTAAATTAGGGTGAATGTGAAGACGTGGTAGATTACTGGGATGCTGTGGGGTCAAGTGCAACACAGTCCTAGTTCTCTGGACAACGGCAGGTCCTGCCCTCATGAGGACTTCTGCCATACTGCTTATTCCTTAATCACATTCACCGATAAACCCCATATCCTGTCCATATCCTGTGCTAAGCACCAGTTCACAAAAGTCCACCAGGATATACCAGGGACATAGATAAACCCAGGGCACCTGCAAGTTCTTAGACTTTTGAAACCGAAGTCCTTGCAAATGTGGGGAGAAGTCTGCAATATTCAGTTCTAAACTGGAACTGGCTCGAGTTCTGTTCCCACCCAGGATCTGACACCTGAATGAGATCTGACCACATGGCAGAGCTGTCCTGCCACGGGCTTTCTGAACTGGTGGGCCACCCCAGCTCTATGTGGAGGATCCTTAGGGACTGGGTAGCTGACTGTGATGTGGTCTATCCTGTTCCCATGTAGGGGCAGGTTACTGAGCTGTCTGTTGGTGGCACCACCCTGTTTGACTATAGGAACTATTCTCTGGGAGGCTCCAGGAGCTAGAAAAGACCTGGTACGCAGCCCGCTATGTTCAGAGCAGACCCCCTAGCTTAGCAGAGTAGAAGACCCTCACTATCAGTCTCTATGTGTCTCTGCAAAACCAGCCATTAGCACTCAAGAAAAAGAATGGCACCTCTACTCCAACAGGTATCCATGCACAGAAACACAGTCCACTTACACTGTAGGCCAGCTGTGAGCCTCATGGCACAGCTAATGCTTTCAAGTCCAAGGGACACCTTCCTTTCATCAGCAGCATCTCACTAAACTCTGACACCTCCATCTCTGACCCTGAGTGTCCCTTAGAGATTTGTCTGTCATTTTACAGCCCTGGAAAGTGGATGTAGAGTCTCATGTAGCCCAGCCTGAACTTGCTATGTAGCAGAGGATGACCTTGGACCTCTAATCCTTCTGCCTTTATCTCCCAAGTGCTGGAATTACAGGTGTGCACCATCACACCCAGTTTATATGATGCTGAGTTAGCAAGCCTAGGACTTTACTCATTCTAGGCTGGTACCCTGCCCACTGAGCCACATCCCCAACCTCTTGTATGCCTGTTTTTCAGATAAGAAAATTGGGGCTGGGGGGGGGTGTCTAGAAGTTTGACCCAGGCCACTGGCTCCTCCTTGATTAGCGTGTGTGCGCACCCGCGCGTGTGTGTGTGTGTGTGTGTGTGTGTGTGTGTGTGTGTGTGTGTTGTGAGGACAGCATGCTAGACCATAGAACCCTCTAGACTCAAGTCCCTGGGAGAACAGTGCGGCCATCCAGGAAGTCATCACCTTTTGGCTGCACCATTTGCCTGTCTATATGGCTTCTGAGAGCCGCAGACATTTGGAAAAGCCCAGGGGCTCTGATGGAGGACACCAGCTATGTGGCTGGGGTGGGTGACACCAGCTGCCGACCTTGACTGACCATCCCTTTATGACAGGACAGAAGTCGGGGAGAGGACTAAGCACCCTCTGGCAGCCTCGGGTCCTGCAGGTCTCTGTCCCAGCTCCTGTGGCACACTGGGAGTCCCAGGTTCTCACCATTGGCGTATGGGTTCCCCGGCTTCTTGTTGGTCATAACCCGGGCTGTGGCATTATTGACCTGTCCGGAGACACGGGGAGAGTAAGGAGGAATCACCACTCACAGGCCCCCGCCACCCCAAGCTTTGCCCCTGGGGTGTGGCCTCTGGGGAGGAAGGCCCCTGGGGATCCTAGGCTGCTCCCCAGCTGGGCCCAGGATCCCAGCCCAGACTGGTGCTGCTCATAGAGTTGTTCCAGTAATTGGAGACCAACCCCGATGACAAGCTAAGGGCCTTAGAGACACCCCCAGGCCGGCTAGCAGGCCAGGTCCCACTGTCATGGATGGAGCACCCCATTCCTTGGGGGCAGTGGGTCTTTGACCTCTTTGCACACACAACATAGAGCTTTCTAATGGGGTCAGTGGGGGACAAGGTGGGTGAGGGAGATTCTAGAAAGACAGTGCTCAGGGGTGAGGTCCCATTTTCTAAATATATAAGGCCTAGGCCAGGCTGCCTGAGGTTGGGTGGGGGTGGCAGTGGGGCACAGATAACCATGGAAGGGAGGGAGGGAGGAATGGGGCAGGCAGTGCCTGAGGAAGGGGTCTGGGCCACACACCCTCCTCATCTACACTGTGAGCCTAGAGGCCTGGGCAGTGGCCTTGGAGCCACTGGGCACTGGGGGGTCAGGGCTATCCAAATCTCCTCAGCTTCTGCGGCACCAGGCCTCTCTTGGCCACCTCCCCTCCTGTTTCAGGTCTGGTGGGGGAGCCCAGCTCCAGCTCCCAGAGCCACAGGAAGCACCAAGAGTAAGGATGGGGGTCAGTGATGGGGTATCTGGGTGGCCCTCCTGACTCTGCTCCTTCTGCCCTCTGGTCACTTGCTGTTACCTCTGCTTCCGCTCAACAAGGTGGCACCTAAGGCTGCTGAGTGAGAAGGATCAGGCAGAGGACAGGCGGGGCTGCCTACAGTCCTTGAAACCACCAGACCTCACATGGTTTCTGGGGCCCCTTGCTGTGTGAATGGGGATAGGCCTCTTCCAGGAAGTGGAAGGAGGAACTGGAGGTGGGAAGCCCAGGGTGAGCCTGAAGCCTCCACTGACAAGGGGCTAGGCTCAGCTAAAAGCTCATGGTGGGGGAGGTCGGTCTCAGGGTCACCTTTCCTTCAGCCGGGAGGCCCCCTGCTGGGCTCTCTGCAGGGCAGACAGCAGCAGTCAGGCCAGTGGGGGACCCAGGAGTGGAGTGTGTTGTCCAGGACCTCCCTGCCCTGCTGCCCCGCACACTTATCTGAGCACCTCAATTTTCCGTCCCTCTACGATGGTCCCATTCAGCTTCTCCCGGGCTCGGTCAGCATCTGAGCTAGTTTCAAAAGTTACAAACCCAAAACCCTGCGAGCAGAGGAGGACAGACAGGGGAAGACAGGATGAGAAGAGGGGAGGAGAGGAACAGGGAGGGGAGGGGTGGAGGGAGGGAGAGAGAGGGGCAAGTCAGGTGACTGAAGGAGAGCCCCCCCCTCCATTGGTCAGAAGTCTATCTTGGTGCCAGCTCTAGAGGGAGGCATGGTGGGAGTGTGGTCCCAGGCTTGAGTCCGCCTGAGCTGACCACTGCCTAATACCTTCTGAGAGGACAGGTCAAAGAGGTGCTAACCTGGTCAGGGGCCAGGGTTGCCACTGGAGCCCCACCTTGGGGTAGGGGGGCTGAGGTCAGGCACAAAGGAGCACAGCCCCTCCACCTTCTCTCTGGGAGCCCAAGATTGGTGGGGGAGGGTTCTCATCTTCCTGGAGAGGGGGGCAGAGCTTGTCTTTGCTGGGCACCCTCCCGGCCTTCTGACCCTGCAGCCCCTCCTTCCCGCAAGTCTTCGGGCCCTAAGGGTGGGTGGTTGGGTGGGGAGGGGGACCCAGGCCCAGGGTGGAGGGGCTCTGGGGTGCAAGCAAGGAGGTCCTGGGAGTTCAAAGAGAAGTAGCCTGGCAGCAGGAAACAGACAGCTGGGGTTGGGGGTGGAAGAGCAGGGAGTACAAGCACCCGTGTGGCTCAGGGGTCCTCGGGCAGGCGGGCGCGAAGCTCTCCAGGAAGGAAACGCACATTTCACACGTTAGCGGGACCTACAGCCGGCGCGGTAATGGTGGTGGCCTCTGTGCGGCACCCACCTTGGAGCCCCGCTCGTTAAAAATGATCTCCACGTCTAAAATTTTCCCGAATTGCTGCAGAGACAGAGAGAAGGAAGGGTGAGGAGACAGGACAAAGGGGTTAAGACAGCAGAGGCCCTATCCGTTGCACTTCCAAGATGCCACCAGCCTCAGGAAGGGAGAACCCCAGGGACACCTTCCCCATCTTCCCCTGGAGGCCTGTCTTCTTCAAGGAGCATGCGTCATAGCACCAGGGGCCCCTTGGGACTCGGCCACAGCAGGGATGGAATGTCCAAGGCATTAGTGCCACACACAATACATGCTAAAGGGTAAAGGTCTACTGAGACCAAAGGATGGGGGGACTGGAAAAGGAGTGCTGGGGCTGAGAAATACGGTTGAGATGACAGGAAATTGGGAAACTTGGTTGGGATAAGAGACCCTCAGACCACTCTGAGATGAGGAGAAGGGTGACGGTTGGCAAGAAGAAGATTCTAAGGGGCCAGAGATAGGACTGAGGGAGGGGAAGACATGACTTCTGGGTCCCTGTACTGTTGGTGGGTGCCAGGGAAAGGGCTTGTGTGCTGGAACTCGGGCCCCTTGCTGGTGCAGGATTTTGCCATCCAGACCACACTACTCTGGCTCTGGTTGACACCTTTTAGCCTAGAGTCCCTATAGCTAGCCTTGTTTCTCTCGCCAGCAAATGGTGGCCATGAACCTGTGGCCCCAATCTTTAAACAATGCCAGTGAGGTTCTTAGGGGGCCAGTCTTGCAGCCTCTTGGGCTGACAAATGATGGGGGTGACCCTTGTCTCCTAGGGGAAGGGGACCTGAAGGGACAGGGGGTCAGACAGCTATAGGGCTGTCTGTTGGTTCTGAGAGAAAAGTAATCCTCGATCTCATTCTGTAGTACCCCAGAAACCTGACACAGGTGGTTGCCACTTGTCTGGTAGGGCCCCCATGAGCAGGGGTAAGCTGAGGTCCCATGTAAGTGACCGTCTGTAGTGCTAGCTGCTTGAGACTTAAGGCGACCAGGCTCAGACTGGTTCAAGACCCATGATCAAAAGGGCCTGACCTTGTCATTTAATGGTTCTGAATCATGCCACTCTCCACTGTGAGCTGGGCTCCAAATCCAGGAAGGTCCACACCAAGATGGAGAGCACTCTTCCAGAGTCATACCAGGGACTGAGCATCCTGGGTCTGCTCAGAGGCAGCTGCCCTGCCTTGCAAGTCCCTATATACCCCAGCTGTGTGGGAAAGACTGAGCAGAAGGATGAAGCTCAAGGCCCGAGTTGCCAGCTGTGTGACAGAGCAGGGATAGGTGCTGGGCAGGCAGAGAGACGGTGGTTGAAGCAAGGGTGGGGACAGAGAAAGGAACATGGCAGGGCACACGGTCCCCTGGAGTCAGGACAAGCCCAGGAGCCCAAGGGGCTGCACCACACCCTGCCTGGCCTGCTTTCCCATGGCAGCCTCAGAACCCATGGATGCTTGGCGCTCGTCTGAAGGTAAGCTTCCAGGGCAGTTTAGCATGGGGTCGCAAGAACACTGCCCTGGCTGGAGCCCTACAGTACAAAATTTAGGCCAGATGCAGAAGTCCTGGGAAGGGACCTCTGGCTGTTTGGTTCCCATCAACTGTATTTTCAAGTTGCCCCTCCCCTGGGAAGCTGAGAGGACACAGGCCTGGAGAGGAGAGCCTTGTCCTCAGACACTCAGGAGGGGCTGCCCCTAGGTGATGCCGGGAGCTGGTTCCTTTTGTTGGGAATAAGCTGCTGCAGCCCAGAGGACTCTAAGGCACCTGGGAATGGGTGGCATGGGGTGGCATGCAGATTTTTGGTAGGGGACGGAGGAGATTACATAAAGCTCAAGGTCAGCCTCCATTGATCCCCCACCCCCAACTCTGAACTTGGGTCCACCTCTTGTGCTCTGCCAACAGGTTGAGGTGAGAGTCAACTGGACCTAGGTGGGAAGACTCCAAGGACCCTGCCCTCTCCTAAAGCAGCCGCTCTGCCATGTTGGGGTCGGGGCAGGGGTGTCGGGGTATGCACACTCACCCCGAACATTTGCCGCAGGTCAGGGTCCCTGAACCGGAAGGGGATGTTGGAGACATGTAGCCGTTTGGGTTGCTGCTTCTCTGTGGGGTCGGAGGGGTGAAGCTGCTGGCTGTCCGTCTGTGCCGCCTCATCTGTCTGCTGCGGGGAGAAGACCGTGCTGTAAGGCAGCCCTGCAGCCGGGGCAGGCCCACCCATGCCCTCCAGCCCAGGCTTCCAGGGCTGGGAGTCCTCAAGAGGGTATGGGTAGACAATTCCTAGGGTTCACACGGCAACCAGAGGTCCCACCTTTAAGCCTTCACTGGCCAGCTGATCCTGTGAGGCCACGTCTTTCCTGTTACACCAGCATAAGGCCTCCTTGGTCAGGTCTTCTCTGAGCTCCCTCAGCTCAAGCCTGTCCCCTGAGGTCCACCCTCAATGGCCTTGCAGCCCAATACCTCTATTGCTTTCAAAGAAGTTCTCATGTCAGAATCAAACAGGTTTAAGGACCAGGTGCCTGGGTACACTGTCTGTAAGGAGTTGCCTGCCATGTCATGTCCCCTGCCCTCCCACCCCGGCTCTTTACCCTAGTCACGCTGTTTCACTTAGAACCCCTGGGGGCCACAGGACCAGGTGCCTAGGTACACTGTAAGGAGTTGCCTGCCATGTCATGTCCCCTGCCCTCCCGCCCCGGCTCTTTACCCTAGTCACGCTGTTTCACTTAGAACCCCTGGGGGCCACGCTCTTGTCAAGGTGAGTCTTACATAGTCTGTCCCTCATTTAGACTCAAACACTGGGCAGCAGATGGCTTGGAGGAATTCAGGTCTCACGTCTACCACCCTACAGCTCAGGGCATGAGGGCTGGGAGCCTGGAGGCGGCACGCACGAGGCTCTGTCTGCACAAAGCTCAGTGGTCTTCAGTGCTGTTGGCCTTCAGCTTGGCTCGCTGCACCCACAGCTGCAAAGGTGGACTGGGCAGTATTTCCTCAGCACTGGCTGGTGAGTGGGTGGCTGACCCAAGTTGGTGGACCTTATCACCTTCTTGGATGCTCAGCCCTGAGGTCTTCCATGTGGCAGTCATGTTTACAGCCACAGACCATCAGCCAGCCTGTAGTTGGTTCTCCTGATGGCCAGGCCACAGCCTGTCAGTGCCAAGGACAGACATACAGGGAGTGGGTGCCCCAGCTCCCATCCTGGGTTCTGCCTCATTCTTGCCCCAGGTCCCCCAGTGGGGCTCAGCTGTGTGGAGACACCAGGCTGAGAACACACTTTCTAGTGACTTCCTTCCTGCCCCACTCTGGCCTCTTGGAGTTGTAAGGGATCATCTACCAAATACATCGGTTGTATCTGAGTCCTTGGCACTGGGCCTGCTTCTGGAACGGGGCGCCAGCTGATGGTCCTGGGAGGAGGAGAGCTGCCTCCAGACCCTCTGAGTCTTTCTCAGGCGGAGGTAGAAGCATGTGCTGGGTGGAACAGAGAGAGGTGACAGGGGCTGTGGTTCCCAGTGTGGTCTGATGAGCAAAGGCAGCTGCTGGGCAGCTGATCGGAGAGACACACAGAGGTCCATTCCTGTGCTGGTGGTGCCCTTCACAGGACTGCTGATGAGTACAAGTCTCCTGGAGTGAGGACGGTGAGCAGGGCTGTGCCCAGGGTTACCATACTTGGGGCCTGTGCTGCAGCTGCAAGACTGGAGCCCCATGGGGACAGAGTCTCTCCCAGACAAGACTACAGCTAAGTGGCAAGAGGTGGGTCCCTGGGCTTCTGTGTTAATGGCTCTCCAACCTTCCTTCTGATTTCCTTTCTAGGGTGCTCGACCACTAACTTGCATTCCTGTGCTTAGACCAGGGGCCTCTGATCAGGCTTCAGGCAGCAAGAATCATAGGTAACCAGGGCAGAAGGCCCCCAGAGATGGCTCCCAGAGGCCAGGTGGCCAGTTGGGGTGGGGTTGGGATGACTTCAGGGCTGTCGGGCATACATTCAAATGTCCCATAGATATAATTCTGCCGTTCCACAATGGGAGGCTAACACACAGCACATGGCTGTGGACATGAGAGCCACCGTCGCCTTTGCTCACTCAGACGGCCACATGGTCTATCTCAGACAATAGGTCACTTGTGTCTGGCCAATTCTGGCAAATGTGTGCCTTTTGAGCCCCATGTGTGGAGCTGTAGGTATGGTCTGGGCCTCTTTAGTGCTCTGGGCATGTTAGTGGATGGTCAGAGGCCTTGGAGCAGCCAGAAGTCTCAGGCTTTGGAAAGTTGGGGGATTCTTGGGTATCAAATAATGACATTCAGGAGCCCAATGAGAGAAGCGGTGTTCAGGCAGGAAGACACGGGCAGTAGGAACAGCTGGAGGGGCAGGAAGATACACTTCTGGTCTGCCCTGTACCAGATGCCCACCTCTGTTGGGCAATACAGTGCAGCAGACTAGCCACACAGGAGCTGACTGGCTCTGCAGGAGCACACTGGGGCTCCTGCCACAGCCTGGGGGACTGGAGGTGTCTGGGAGTCCCACTCCTTGGTTACACGGCTGTCTGCCTTGTTACTAGACTTGCTGTGGGAAGTAAGCCTGGGCTGGACTCCAGACAGACAACTGTACCACCGGATGAGGACAAACCTGCCCAAGCCACCTAGGATTCTGGTGTGGGTATGAGCTCCACACTCTGCCTTTGACTGGTGTGGCTCTTTCCTCTCCAACAGAATCTGTGCAGTGGTTATAAACCTTTCCCGAGTGTTTTATACATGTGTGCCTGCAGCTGTAGGTGCCTAATTAAGTCATCCTGGATTGGGGGACTCCAGCCTGCTCAGGGGCCTGCAGTGCTACATTCTGACCAGCAGAGGGCAGAAGTCAGCACAGCCAGGTGGCCACCTTAGCCCAGGAATCTGGGGGCGGGGGGGGGGGGCAAGATTGCACTGATGAAGGTGCAGTATCAGGGGCCCCGCTGCTTCCCCAACCCCTGATAAGTTGTGGACAGAGGCAAATAAATGGCTTCAGCAACTGTAAAATTGTAAGATGTGCTGAGAAACCCCACAGTGTAATTGCACACCTCTGGCCCCAAGCAAGGGTGAGGCCTTCCCATCATTTACCAGAGTACAGGTGCAGGTGGCTGGTTACCCTTCCCTTCCGAGGTCTGATTTCCTTCCTTCCTTCCTTCCTTCCTTCCTTCCTTCCTTCCTTCAAATGATTGGATGGGAGTGGTGACTGTCTCCCTCTCCCTCTCTCTTCCTACAGAGCGTCTTAGGGTACAATTAGTTTGAAATAAGCCAGGGGAGAACCTAGAGAAGAAGACATCTATTTATTGTTTGTTAGTCTGGCTTGCCAAGCAGAGAACAAGCTTATTCAACAGGTGCTCCCTCCCTCGTAGTCTTCAGATGCAGGGAAAAAAGAAACAGCATCTGCAGAGCTCCTGCCCTCTCCCACCTCCACCCATTTAAGACTGGGAGTCGGCTCCTGGAGGCTAGGTCAAGGTTAGAAAGCCTGACCCTCTTTGCCTGGGCCTGCCAAGCCCTGCACAGAAGCATGAGGAGTCCCCTGAGTAGGCTGGGGGCAGGGGAGGGTCTAGGAAGGCCTTGAGCAGCAGGCAAGACCTAGCTGTCCCATCACTGGGCTGCAGGCAAGCTTGGCTGACGTGGCACAAGCTGAACTGGCTGTTGGAATCTTTCTCCGCAGCCCGTCTCTGCTCCTCCGGCTCCTTTGGAGCACTCATGCGATGACCCAGCCCACATCTCTGGTGGGCAGCCAGCGGGCCTGGGAGGAGAGACTCTTTACATGTGGCTTCGAGCTGTCTGTCTTCTTGGAGTGTGCTCTTCAGCACCCCGGAGCTTTGTGCTTCCTCATGGATGTTGAACGACACACTACTAGGCGCCTCTGCTGGCTGGCCGTGCATCTGCAGTGTCCCCAGCTGACACTGCTGCACGGGCCTTTCCCCACCAGTTCCATCCCCTGGCAGGCTGGAGAGTGGCCCTATGGGAGTGACTGTGGCCTGGTTTGGGGGCTGACACCTCTTAACCTTGTATCTTTCTCATGACATGTGCGTATCACAGTCTACCCTTGGGCAGTCAGGAAGTCAGGGACAGGAAGTTTCAACTGATGGAAGAAGGAAGCTCTATCGTCTCTCTCCCTCCATCAGGCAGGACCTCTAGTGCAGCCTACCTGCTCTGCCCTGGCATTTACCAGGCTCCATCAGCCTTGCTGAGGTTCCATCAAGCACATAGATGGGGTGTGACCCCCTGTGGACACTCATGTGGCCTTTGAGTGAATGAGTGAATACTTGTGGGGGTGGGGGGCCCCTCACATCTGGGGAAGACCCGTTGGATGCTGGAGAGTTCTCAGTAGCCCTGTGATGAAGATGCTCAGCATGTACTGCCTTTGGTCCATGAACAGCAGGTGGCCCCGGATGGTAAGAGATGTGAGACTGAGTCTGAATCCCCCTATGGGAGCTCTGGATCTTTCAAGCTCCCTGCAATCAGGGCAGGTGGGATGGTACTTCCAGAAGAGCCTTCTTGATGATGGGACACAGAATGAGGGGCTATCCCAGGAATGCCAATGGATGAAAGTTACCAGGGGTGGTTAGGACAAGACTGCTGAAATTGGCCCAGTTCTGCTTTCAGAGGACCTTTGTAGCCAAGATTGTCACAGATGATTGATGGACTGGGTCCTTTACGACCTCTACTTTTTTCTCACAGGGCCAGTCACTCCTCTGTTACCTGGGGTCTTTGGGCATCTTGCCTGGGCAGTGGGGGTGTCAGGAAGGGTCCTACGATGGCAAGAATAGGGCTCCCCTAATTACTAGCTGGAAAGGGAGAGGAGGAGGAAGCCTGTTGGAGGAGTCTTTCCAAGCCATAGTCCTGGGTGTGTGTCTCTGGGGGAACAGAAGGGAGGGTTAGGCAAGGCAGCTATGCTGGCTGCTGGGGGATGTGATCCTGCCCATCCATCAGCCCCAGTCCAAGGAGAAAACAGACCTCCCGTGTCACCCTGGGCTTGGCCAGGAGCAGCCTTCTAGAGCTGACTTAGTGGGACTTACTGGAGAGGTGGCTGATGGGAACATGGAACAGTTCTGCTCATCAGTGGGAGAAAAATCCCTCTAGGAAGAAAAGGGGAGCCCGTCCCTTTGGTGTCTGTGTCCATGGAGGTGAGTGGGAGGATGGGTCATACATATTCTGAGTGGTAGGGGAGGAAGAGACCAGAGCACTTGGTGGCTATGTCTTGGGAACTCAAGAGACGTCCTGACCCAGGTAGGAGAAGCTCGGTCCAGATGAGAGCTCAGAGCTCACCTTGTCTCCTACCCTTGTACCCCTCAATCCTAGTCCAAAGTTGCTTGGGAAGGACGAGCCCAGAGGAGGCCTGAGTGAGTGGAAAGTACTCTCTGTCTATAAAGACAGTCCAGTGGCACCTGACCCAGCCAGCAGGTGCTGGGCTTTGCTGCCAGCCAGGTTGCTCCTCTGAGGGAGGGAGCTCCTCTGGGAGCACAGCGGCTCCTGGAATCTTAGAACAGGACAGGCATCTGTCCTCCACAGAGCTCGCTTCCCAGGCAGGCGGCTCTGCTTGCATAAGTGCTCCAAGGTCACAAAACCCGAGCACCCAAGTCTTTTGGGGGCAGCCCCCAGTGTCCTCAGTGTCTTCTTGCTGGTCCAGTAACTTCTATCTTCCTGGTTCACAGCGACTGGCCTGGTCACAGATAGTCCTTGTGGTGGAGTAGTAGGTAGACAGAGTGTCTGGCACCATGACCCTGACCCTCTTGCAGGACATGAACACTCTGGTCAGAGAACAGGACAGTCATGGCTGTGCATCCTTCAGGGCGCTGGTGTTTCTAAAGTAGGCATGCCCCTTGAGGGGCATATGGGTCCCGGGCAAGATTTATCACATCCAGGATCTTCCAAGACAGCCAGCATCCCCACTTCCGCATCCTCATCCCTCACTTTCTGACGTTTCTGCCCTTGACCAGTGGGAACCAGAGGGCAGGGCTGTCGCACCTTCTCCGCACCCCCAGACCTCCTTCAGGCTTGGTAGTCGAAATGCATGTAGGACAGAGAGCTTGACTCAGGCCTTGATGATCATATCTGTCTGGCGACCCCAGGGTGTGCAGAGCCTTAGAGCCGATTTCTGATGTTCTGTTACAAGCCATCCGTTCCTTCTTGGTGTCCTCTGTGATGCTGACTTGTTTTTGACTAGGTAAAGCCCCACGGCTCACTATAAGAGAGCCCCACCCCCATTTGTTGATAAGGATATCATTAGAGGCTTGGCCAGATGGGTCTTATCTGCCAAAGTCCATCCAAGTCTTCCGGCTGTGACTTGTACAGACCAAGCCGCTTTGGCTTCAGGGTCACCCCTGTCTTTCCTGAGCCTGTAGAGGCTGTGGATTTGATGACCCAGAGCCAGGCTCCCAATTCTGTGATCCAGGAATCTGACCCTTTCTGTCTACGGCCCACAGCTGGAAGAATCCTGGGAGAGGGCTGTTAGCTCCTGTACTAGGGTGCTGGGGTGTGGGTCCTGCTGGCTCAGACTGGTAGTGCTAGTCTGTGGCTCAGCGCAGTCTCAGACTGGTAGTGCTAGTGGAGTGCAGGAAGAGCACTGTCTTGGCACAGGATGAGGTCAGGCACTGCTCAGCATACAACTGGGTGGGCTCTCCACAGAGACTTTGGGGCATGGTAGAGGAAGCCTCTGTCTGTGGGGAGGGCAATATCTGGGTCTACATGACATCTGGGGAGCCAGGCTGGGTGTGTGGGTAAGGCTAAGAGAGCACAACTGGAAGCCCCCTGGGGAGGCGCCAGGGCGGTGCCGCCGCCTGGGGAGTCCAGAGCGTGCTGGCCTCCTGCCCAGTCCCTGCCAGCCAGCAGCCGGCAGCTGGGATGGAGCCAGCGGGGATGAGCGGATGAGCCCAACGCTCCACCGCAAGGGAGGGGAAGGCCCACAGGGAATGTGGTGCAAAGGGCCAGGGATGAGGCTGGAGCCAGTGCAGTAGCAGCCAGAGTTGGGGAGGGGGCTGAGGGGCAGAGCCCACCCAGGCGGCCGTGTGCTCCCACTCCTTTCTTGTGAGGAAATCTGAGAAGTGCGATGCTCAGCACTTTCGCCTCCGAGCTGCATTACAACCACATAATTGAAGCTATCTGATTGGAGGGCAGCCAAGCAGGTAGATTACAAGTGATTAGAAATGATAGGAGGGCCTGCAACCCGAGACGGCTCCTCGCTGCCTCCCACTGCCCACCCTGGCTTGCCTGGGAGACCCAGGCCAGCCCAAGCCCCTGGCCCCAGCCTTGGCTTGCCTTCCATTAACAGGTCACCAGCCACCATAGGCACGTACCCTACTTCCCAGATGAGGTGAGAGTTTACCTGAAGTTTTGGACAGCTGGGGGTAAGTGGGGTCACTGCCCACCCCATGGCCTCTCTGTGGTACCTGCTCACTGCAGGGAACCTTGATGTCAGATGAGGGGTGGAGCCTGGGGCTGGAAGCAGGTTCAGTGGGGTGAGGACTTCTGGAGCAGGTGCCTAACCAGGAAGCTGGCCCCTCCATACAAAGAACCCTTCCTGGGACCCCACCCACCCAGTGTGCACTGATGACACTCCTGAGCTGGCCCAGTGTGGCAGGGGTCTCTTACCGGCACTGTCTGGGTTCCAGCGATGGGCTGTGTGCTGGCCTCGGTGCCTGGCTGCTCGGGGTGTGTCTGTGCTGGTGTGTAGAGGGTCATGCCGTGCTCTGGGGGGACAGGGGTCTGGCCAGCGTAGTCCTGTGTGGGGTGTGGCGGAGGCGGGGCATACTCAGCTGGGATGCCGTTCTGAGGTGGAGGGGGGTACTGGGCAGGGGGGTAGGGCTGGGCCATTGCTTCAGGTGGAGCCGTGGCGTCCTGATTGCCCTGTAGGGAGGAGAGAGAAGGTCCGGGTTAGAACCCTGTCCCCTCGCAGCGTGCAGGGATGGAGCCTGTTAGCTCTGTGGCCTCTGCTACTACTTTAGTGGCATTTCCCAGGTCTTCAGGTTGGGGCTCCCCTCAGGTTAGGGGCACCAGCTCAGAGATGCGGGTGGAGCTAGGCTGGGGGATTGGGAGTCCAGGTCTAAAGTGAGAGACCTCAGCTGTGACCACTTACACTTGCGAGACAAGATCGCACAACGTCAGAATTCTTTTTTCCCACCTGAATTTAAAAATCAACTTCATACTGTTATCATTATAGACTCATGTGTAATTGTAGGAAACGACATGGGTTGATTCACATGCCCTCCACCTGGTTTCCCCCAACAGCAGTGTCCGCAAAACCAGCACCCCCAGAATACAGTTGTCTACCCATCCAAGAAGTGGCCTGTTTCCTCTGCACTAAGCCCTTTCCCAGCCAGCCCATCTGCCCTGCCTCCATGTTGTTCCAAGTCTTGGTTCTCCCACTGGAAGGCAGGAGGTGGGGGTGGCTTCACAGCCTGCCTTGACTGTGTCCCAACCCTCCAGTGACAGTATCACAGGGGTGCCAGGGGCCTCCGTGTTGGCCTCACCAGGGAGCCTGGAAGCTGAGGAGTCAGGGCCTCACCCCATGCCTCTTGGGCACCTGTGAGCAGTTCAGTGAGGAACCCTTCCGCCAGGGGCTTCAAAGCTGCAGACCAGGTGCAGACAGAGCTGGAAGGAGGGGACCTCTGATCTGCTTTCTCCGTCCTCCACTGCAGATGCACCTGAGTCATAGTCCCCTCTGGGCAGGTGATGCCCTCGCTCTTCGGTGTGTGTGAATGACAACTGAGGCCCATCACCTGAGAGGGCAGGGGGTGGCGCCCACTGGAGCTGCCCCCTGCAAGGGGATACAGGCAGGAATCCATGTCCTTGTTGAGGGTGGCTCTGCTAAGGTGAGGGAGGGTGCAGGGCAGCGGCAGCTCCTCCCACTTGTGCCTCTCCCTGTGGTCTGCAACCCTGGGTATTTGGTTTTACTAGGTACAGGTGTGAGGCTTGGCAGGCCTTGCAGGATTGACTTTTGTCTGCTTCCCTCTGTCTGTACACCCCCTTGCCAGCTGCAGCCCTGTCCTCTCAGCCTGGCTGTCTCCACCTTGGCTTTGGGGTTGCAGACAAAAGGTCAGCCAAGGGGATCCTCTCAGGCATCCTCACAGCCAACCCCACATGCTTTCACATCCCATCTTCACTGAGAAGAGGGTCTCTCGCTCCAGAGAACATGCTGGGCCTTGTTCCCGACCAGGCACATCACTAAGGTTTCTGTCTCCCAGCTGCTTCTCGGGCATCTGGGATGTGATAGGCCCCAGGTGGGGCTGGGTTACCTCAGGGAGCAAGGGCACAGCAAATGGTCCCCACAAGGCCACAGCAAATGTGAGGGATGTATCTGGCCCGGTTCGATCCACAGCTTTCTGGTGACTAGCTGTGTTCAAACTGAGTGGTCAGTTTTTTCCTGTTCTGTAAAGCCCACAGTGCCAGCCACCCTGGGACAGACTTGCCAAGTGGGCAGCCTCTGCCTGGCACCCAAGCCCTCTTTCTTCCCTCTCTTCTCCCTCCTTCCCTTCCCTTCCCTCCTCCTCAGTGAAGAGCCTTTCCTGTCTATGCAGAAACTCTGAAACTGGGACAGTGCTTAATCTCTGAAGGAAGGGCTCTCTCTCTCTCTCTCTCTCTCTCTCTCTCTCGCACACACACACACACACACACACACACACACACACACACACACACACCCCTACACAGTCAAGAGGACTTCTCAATAATTCGATTTTCAATGAATTATCTTCTTCCAGGACTTCGGTAGGCTAATTAAGCACCCCCACATTCTTTCACTATCTTGGGTAGAGTACAAGTTGGAGTGCTGGGGGATTAAGGTTTTATGCCTATATCACAAGAGAAGTTCAATGTAAAGAAGCCATGATGGCTAATCCTGGGTGTCAACTTGACTGGATCTGGTATTAACTGAAATGAGAGAGATCTTCTTAATTGGATCATCTGAAGCTGGAAGACATACACACACACACACACACACACACACTTGTGTGCATGTGCCTGGATGCGGTTATTACCAGATATACTGTTGTCCAACACATGGAAGTGGCTCATGGATGGGAATGGAAGAGAATCAGGGAGAGATGGCAGCATCCTGTAGGGTAGAGAGCATCTAGTATCTGGAATGATCAAGGAGGGAAGATTGGGACCGAACAGGAGGCCAGAGGATGTGGAAGGCAGGGGCGAGGGAGGAAGGGGCCTGTCAGCGGCCTGGCAGACGCCAGGGAGATCAATTCCCCAGTAAATATTTGATGAGAGCCTTTACTAAGTGACACTGCTTTGCAGTTCCCCTCTCCCTCCTCCTGGGCAGCTTTGGCTGTGAGTCAGTTGCCTCAGCTGCCAGGGGAGCCCTGACTTGGACATCTTTGAGTGAGGAGGGTATGCAGTTATCTGAGGACCATTTGGGGCCATAGTCACCCCTAGCACAGTGAAGTGGAGACACGGGCTGAGGAGGTTGCAAATTGCCTTAGGACCCATTCAGCCACACCCCTGTTTATTCTGCATGCCCCGGTCTAGGCACCACAGTGACCATTTGCAGATGGAGAGGCCTATGCACAGAGGGTATGCAGTGACTCAGGACCACCTAAGGGGGACTGACACTCATTTCTCCCCAGGATCTCAACTGTCATTGCCCTCTCCTGCAGGTTCCTCCTGGAACAGATCACAGTTCTCCACGGAGGACAGTGGCCGTGGCAAGGCCCAATGTCCCTACCTCAATCTGCTCAGCTGTGAAGTATGGGTAGTCAACCCATGTCCACATGCTTGCCAGAATTCCAACCGCCTCGCTGGCTGTACAATAAGCCTGACACGGTCCCAAAGGGATCCTTGGTCTCCTCGTAACACCCGCATCCCTTGAGAGTTCGGCACTCAGCCCTAACCCAAGGGTCACTGTGATTCTACTGGTCCACACCCCATAATCCTGCGGCTAACTCTGCTTTCAGGAACCCAGCACCTAGCCACCCTGGCCAGGACAGTCCTCCTACCTGCCCTGGCCACCTTCTCCCGACTCACCTTCCTGCTTCCCTTCCAGCATTTCAGTTAGTTTCCTGCAGAGTAAAATCCAAAGTCCTCAGGGTGTCCTGGGCCACCTAACCTGAACCCCCTGAAGTGGCCCTCGCCTCCCGAGTCTCTCCACTAGTTTGTTCTGCTCAGACACAAATGTCCCCGACGCTCCGTGTGCTGGATAGCTTTAGTGTCAACCTGACACACCTGGGTCGAAGGAGAATCAATTGGGGAATTGCCTCCATTGGTCTGGCCTGTGGCCATGTCCATGGGGCACATTCTTGATTGATGAGAGTGATGTGGGAGGGCCCATCCCACTGTGGGTGGTGCCACTCCTGGGCAGGTGGGCCTGTGTTGGATAAGAGAGCACACTGAGCAGGGGCCAGGGGAGCAAGCCAGTAAGCAGCATTCCTCCATGGCCTGTGCTCCAGCTCCTGCCTCCAGGTTCCTGCCCTGAGTTCCTACCTTGGGCTCCCTGATGAACTGTGACTGGGAGATGTAAGATAAATAAACCCTTTCCTCCCCAGGTTGGTGTTGGTCAGAGTGTTTTGTCCCAGAAATGGAAGGCAGACTAGAACACTCCCTGACCACTCAGGGCTGTGCGCAAGGCCTCACTCTGGCTGCTCCCTTTGCAGGCATGTTCTTGTTTTCCCTCAGCCCCGCCGGGGGACGCCTGCCTTCTCAACGCTGCTTTTCCAGAGAGGCCTTTGTAAACCCGGGTCCCCCTTGCCACTCGTTATTCCTCGATCCACATTCTCAACCTGGGAACCTGCTCCCAGGGCCTATCATCCAAGGCCACGATGTCCCACCCTCCAGGATATGACATGATCTCTGGGGAGCAAGAATGCTCCCTCGCTGCTGCTGACCCTGCAGTGCCAGAACGGCACGTGCCACACAGTAGGACCAAGATAAAGTGGGGCCTACAAGGAATGAATAGATGTGCAAGTGGGGAGGGTTATCTGTGCAGTCACTCTGAGGCCCATGTAAACCACCATGCCCAGTCCCCAACCCCCAAGCCCTGACAGTGGGCTCAAGTGTCACTTCCCTCCACAGGTCAGGAAGCACAGGCTCAGGGCCACGACCCCACAGGCACCTGGTGGCAGCCACAGTGTGCGGCGCTTGCCCAGCACCTTTGGGACTCAGGCTGCAAGGGTTCTCATCTGAAGCTTCCCCAACACCCCACACCCCCCAGCTTTGTAGCCTCAGTCCATGACTGCTCACTACCTGTCTTTTGCACAGCAGGTTACCACAGCTGCCATTTCTACAGAGACACCCAAGTGTTGTGTGCAGGGACGGAGCAGGCAAGGCTCAGAACTTGAGTTCTGTCAGTGATCCAACCCATCGCCTACATGACTGCTGAAGACTGAGAGGGAGGTTGGGAGGGTTCCCTAGGCTGATCGAGAGGGAGGCGGGGCTCAGACTGCTCTGGCAAACCCAAACTGTATTGGCCCAGCTCATTCTGGCCAGCTGGGAACATCTCTGATGGGTCCAGGTGAGCAAGCTCACTCTCTGGCTAGAACCTGGCCATACCTCCAAGTATTTACACCATAGGAATTGCAAAGGCTATGCAGGGCTGGGGTCGTTTCAAGAGAGAGGGTGGTGTGTGTGTGTGTGTGTGTGTGTGTGTGTGTGTGTGTGTGTGTGTTGGCATGCATGCCATGGTATATGGCATGTAGAGGTCAGAGGACAAATTTTCAGTCAGTTCTCTCCGTTCTGCTTTATGTGTGTTTGGGGGATCAAACTCAGGTCATCAGGCTTTTCACTAAGCCAGCTCTCTGGCCCTCTCTTTAAAACAATGTAATTCCAGCAACATTTGTGGAAGCCCTTCGAGTCCCTATCACAGGGGGTTGAGATGAACCTATGCTATTGAGGGGTCTCTGGTCCAG